ATCCACACTTGCAGGGCCTACTTCCCCTGGCCTTACATACTTATTGATTCTCCTTTCATCTGCCAGTGTTTCCACTACTCTGTCATTACACATAGCTATTTCATTAGGTAAATGGACAAATCCACAATATGCTTCATTAGCCTGACGAAAAATCAACTCATCACTTTTTCATGTCGACACCTCATGAAAATATGATTAGGTCTAAATTTCTGTCAAACATTTTTCAGTTTTTTATAATTACAGTTAGACACGAATTCAAATGTACATCAGTATTTCTATTTCATAATTCTCCCCCCCCCCCCCCCCCCCCCCCCCCCCCCCCCCCCCCCCAAAAAAATTTTTTTTTTTTTTTCAATTTTAGGCTTCAAATTGCCTCTTTTTCTTAATGCTTGTGAATAATTGTACCAATCATTGAAACAGTCTTGTTGATAAAACCTTCCATGACTAACACTAAGACACAGGCAAACAAGAGTGATCTCCCCTTTTTCTCTTTCAGAAAAAAGTCCATTTTTTTAAAAAATAATTTTCTAAATTAATTCAGTTTCAATCAATAGCACTTCTCAAAATTTTTAAAACATGACATTATTGTAAGTGCAAGTTTATACAAAAACACTCAAGCATGACTGAAGTTAACAATTTATTGATGATTGTAAACATGTTGTTATATGTACATGGAAAACATAATTTTTTGGCGCAAACAGGGGCAACTCACTCATAAGCACCTAATAAAATAAGTTAACAAGCTTGACTCTGCGACATCAGAGAAGCACAGTGAAGAAGGCAATCGGCTAGACTCCATATAAGAGAAGTACTTGACTCTGAAGAGATTCGGCTCAAAGAGAAGTGACTTGACTCTGTGACTTGCTATGTATACGGAGTAGCTGCCTTCAAAAACTAAGTTAACAAGCTTGACTCTGCGACATCAGAGAAGCACAGTGAAGAAGGCAATCGGCTAGACTCCATATAAGAGAAGTACTTGACTCTGAAGAGACTCGGCTCAAAGAGAAGTGACTTGACTCTGAGACTTACTCCGTATACGGAGTAGCTGCCTTGAAACGCGGGACAAACTTGACTCCTAAGGTAACCAATGAGAAGACCCTTGACTCTGTAATGATTCAGAGAAGTGACTTGACTCACATAACGTCCTTGGAGAAGCTTGACTAAACTTCTAAAGATAACTAAATATATGAAGTGATTGGGGGGGAAAAAATTCCGCAAGAATTTAGAAGCCAAAAATGAGCGAGTAATTCAGTGATATGAGCGAGTGCCCCCAAAAACATGACATTATTGTAAGTACAAGTTACACATGAACATAAGGAAATGTGTAAATTTAGAAACAATTGTTCTATAAGTGATAAAAAAAGAACATGTTGATGTTCATTCTCCTATTTTCATAAGTAAAATTATCTGAAGATGAACTCCAATGCTAAACAAAAGATTATGAGAAAACAAATGTCTTATAATGATCTTTTATACTATGTTTCCAATGCAAGGAGGCTAGAGAGCTTTTAAATGATCTAGTATACAATGTTTCCAATGCAAGGAGGCTAGAGAGCTTTTAAATGATCTAGTATACAATGTTTCCAATGCAAGGAGGCTAGAGAGCTTTTAAATGATCTAGTATACAATGTTTCCAATGTAATAAGGCTAGAGGGCTTTTAAATGATCTAGTATACAATGTTTCCAATGTAATAAGGCTAGAGGGCTTTTAAATGATCTAGTATACAATGTTTCCAATGTAATAAGGCTAGAGGGCTTTTAAATGATCTAGTATACAATGTTTCCAATGTAATAAGGCTAGAGGGCTTTTAAATGATCTAGTATACAATGTTTCCAATGTAATAAGGCTAGAGGGCTTTTAAATGATCTAGTATACAATGTTTCCAATGTAATAAGGCTAGAGGGCTTTTAAATGATCTATTATACTATGTTTGCAATGCAATAAGGCTAAGAGACTGTGACATCTATCTCAATACAGAGAGAGTTGCTTAATTACAGGACCTATAATAAAATCCAATTGGCAGCTCTCTGGGTGTACGATTATACAAAAGACACACAAGGAAATAGCACCATTTCACAACTTAGAGTGAGATACAGTAGAATTAAACAGCATTATACAGGCGTTTTGTCCTTCTTAGACTCATCAGTGATGCAGAGGGCCCTGAAATTTGAAGCCTAGGAGGGGACTAAGAAGAATCCGACGTGACCAAAAGAAAAGTCAAAATCTAGACGGGGAGGTGTGGCAGTCCTATAAATAGATAAATTCTGTAATTTTCATACATCAGATAACTTTAGAACAGCGTCAAGTACATGTGTATTTTCTGAACTGTGTCACTATTCGAGTGAATTTAAACATAGCAAGCTAGTCACAGCAAACCTCTGGGACTTAAAAGTTCACCAGCAGTATCTACCACCTGCTTTCTTAAAGATTGTACAAAAGACACACCAAGTGAAAAGCACCACTCACCAAAACATATATGGATGATGAGCTTATTTCCAGACAAGTGACTCTATTGTCAGATAAATATATACTGTACAGCCTTTTACTCTTTCAACTATATGAAAATTGAAGGCTGTTGGACTTTTTGTATTTGTGTCATGCGGTCTAGATATCTAACCAAGATACCACACAGACCAATAGACAGAAAAGGCAAAGAATCAAAAACTTCTTTACAAATATTGCTGGAGGAAATGAAAACTGTTAAAAACTTTATCAAATTAAGAGGCCTTGAATTAAAAAAACGTGAAAAAAAATGTAGAAACTTCATTCAAGAATTAGAATACACTGAGGATGCGGGAAGACAGAGAAATGAAGGAAGGGTTGGTGGGGCGGGGGGGCATATTTCATTACTTTATTCAACATGAATTTGATATACTGTAAAATTTTATATTTTTGTGGGACTCAATTTTTCAATTTTTGTGGTTTTTCAAAAAAAAATCCTATTTCATTAACATTTGATTTTCTGAATAAATAAAAACTTAATAAGTCTACTTACATTAATAAATTTGTGGATTAAATGCATCCAAACAACATAACAAAAAATAAAACTACCACAAAAATAATTGATTTTACAGTAAACACCAACAAATGGGGCCTTCTGCGTTTTTCGTAATTAATCAATTTACTATGACACAACACCCTACCGAAGGACATACATTGAAACTCTTCTGATACAAGTACAGCCTTTAAACAAATACATCAACATTACTTCGACGACAGAAACAAATAAGAAAAGAATGGGTGTATTGTACGATGCAACGTTTCTTGAAATATTTGTACAAAATCAATCATTATTCCCTCACAGGAGTCATTTGTATGTCTCATAACTCAACATGTTTTTATATTCTTTTTCTGCTGATCGTGGTATTCCCTCAAACAGAAATACAATATCTCATTCTGTTTCTATAGAATTGAAACGACTTTTTAAAATTATTCAACACTTCATAATTATCCAGTGTGCAAAGTTACTGCTTACACATTACCTCGAACTAAAAGTCAAGGGCAGGCTTATTACGGGACAATGAAATGGTTATGGAATAGAAATAGGCTTTGTATCATAAATACAGCTGATATTTTTATCTTTTTTTTTTATTTGATCAAAAACATGTGTCCATACAATTCTCTATTTAGAGCTGAAAGGAGAGAGACAAAATATTGTTTTAAATATTTCATTGGGAAAGAGGTCTTAGAGTGACATTAGATCTCAAGATACTGACAATGAGGACATTTCCATGTTTATCTACGATGTGGCAACCATGACATTATGAACAGCCATGTGGGAATATGAGTAAGACGTCAGTCACAGTTGGACAAATGCCTCATCTATAATATCATCTGTCAACTAGGAAGCATTGCCATGGCAACAAATGAGTTCCTTCATATCTTCTGAGATCTGGAGTAAAAGGCTTCAATACATTAAAGAAAGAGAAACGGTTGTCATGGAAATTTAATCAACCAAATGCATGTATGGAAGAGAAAAAAAAAGTCGCCACACATTTAATTTGGAAACATTAAATTTCAGAACAATTATTTCCCAGAAAATGGGAAATAGATTTTTCCCCCTTTCAGGTAATAATTCAAAATTAAATTAAACATTGAAGCAACAGAGAAAACTAGAGGTTTGGTTTTTCTACAATTTTTTCTAATGATTTCAGAAAAACCTCATTTTAATTAAACCATATCTAATTTTAAGTGACAAATTCCATTTCCGGTATATAAACAAACATTTTTTAACAAAATATTTTCTACAGGTTAAGATATACTGAATAGAAAGATCTTTAATCAAGGCCAGTTAAAAATGTGTTTTTTCAATGACTACATTGTCACTTTTCATCAGACAAATGACCAGTGTGAAGTGTTTAAGAACTGAGGTACAAGATGATAATGAAATCATAGGACTTTTCGGCCTGTGATTTCATTACCATCTAGTGTACCGCAATGCATATACAACAAAACTTATTCAAACCATGAAACTAAGATTTGTACAAATTGTATATATATCCCACATATGTGATTGATGCCACCATCTTTCATTTCTAATTAACACTGTTGGATGAACCTGAAGATCAAAAGGGGAAAATCTTGCTATTAAAACCAATTATGATATTTCCTCCAAGTGCAAGCACTCAGAAACAAAGGGAGATAACTTACTATCCAAACACCATATCAACATTCCCTCTGAAGTGGTTGGACTTTACAATCAACAGAGAACCCAGAAACAAAGGGAGATAACTTACAATTTCAATTACTATATATAACGTGACCTCTGAGCTGATCAGAATATGCAATCAACTGAGAACTCAAAAACAAAGGGAGATAACTTACAATTTCAATTACTATATATAATGTGATCTCTGAGCTCATCAGAATATACAATCAACCGAGCACTTAAAAACAAAGGGAGATAACTTACTATCCAATTACTATGCATAAACATGACCTCTAAGTTGATCAGAATATACAAACACCAGATAACTTGATACAAAGGGAGATAACTTACTATTCAAACACCATGTATAACATTCCTTCCGAGCTGTACGTCTCCAAGAGCTCTACAATGTGTTGTTGTTTCAGCATGTGACAGATACTGGCCTCCCTTTTTAAGTCTGTAAAACAAAAACAGAATTCTATACACTTCCCTCAGAATCTATAGTCTTTATACAGGTATGTATGATTCAACATAATGGAGGTTCATGGCTTGTAGATGTTATGTCTGAACTCCTAAAATTTATTGTTTTTAGTGAGAAGACATAAAATGATCCGTTGTTTATATAATAAAGAACATTTTCATCTTATTGTGTGTTAAATAGAATCATTTTATAGAAAAGTGTATATTTTCTTTTGTTTGAAATTTCTTCGTTTTACAAAAAAATACAAAAAATGCATATTTGATACCATTTGCTCTCATGAACAGGTCTTACTAACAAAATCTTATAGTGTTAAAACACAAGTCAGTTTATTTCTGTCTGTCTTTTCGTAGCCATACAATTAACAACATCCACGAAAATAAAAACCCACAAAAGTTAATCAGTTTACAGTTGTTCCATTATTACAGCACAATGGCAATTTTCTGACATGACAGGACACATAGCCATCTAGATTGATCAGTTTACATAATATATTCTTCCATACTTAACATACGTAACATGTTAATTATTGATGGGAGTGCAGATTATATACATATTCAAAGAAAAGTAAGAGGGGAGGGGGATTGGGTTCGGTTTGAAGGTGGTTCTAGATTTTCTGGTCATCAAGAAAAAGATTTTAAAACAAAACAGGTGATGCTGAATGAGATTCATGGACGAAGCTGATCTTTAAAATGTGTTGGGAAAAAATAATGAAGTAAATGAAATTGTTATATGAAGGGAAAATAATCAATCAGCATAGATCTACATACTATACCTTAAAAACATATCGCTATACAACAATGTTTTATCATCAATTCTGCCACACATCTACTACATATGCTATCAGTGGTGTGCATAAGGCTCAACATTAAAACAAGGGGTGTTTTTGGGTAGAAGCAAGATAGAAAAATAAGCAATTTTTCTTATATGGCATAGAATGAGAAATTTCAGCCCTCAGAATAAAAGTGCTGATCCTCGGATTTTAATTAATATGTGTACATACCATTAGTATGATTTTGTTTTATGTCCTGATTTCTGATCTCTTGGGAACAAATTCCTTCTAAACCTCACCATCTTGATAGATATACTACATGTACAAAGTAAATATTTATACTTAAATTTAATAAATTACCATTAATTTTGTTTTCATTATCTTTTTATCCTGACCTCTGTTCAATAAATATAGGCCCTTTCAAAAACAACTGTACAGAAAATATCCTGGTTTTTGAGATGCTAACTTTAATCTAACAATTCAAATGATACTAGAAAATGACTTCTACGCAAACCAGAATCTGATCAGGTGTAGAACATGATGTTATGATACTATGGGGTAAGTGTGAACCAGAATCTCATCAGGTGTAGATCATGATGTTATGATACTATAGGGTAAGTGTGAACCAGAATCTGATCTGGTGTAGAACATGATGTTATGATACTACGGGGTAAGTGTGAACCAGAATCTGATCAGGTGTAGAACATGATGTTATGATACTATAGGGTAAGTGTGAACCAGAATCTGATCAGGTGTAGAACATGATGTTATGATACTATAGGGTAAGTGTGAACCAGAATCTGATCAGGTGTAGAACATGATGTTATGATACTATAGGGTAAGTGTGAACCAGAATCTGATCAGGTGTAGAACATGATGTTATGATACTATAGGGTAAGTGTGAACCAGAATCTGATCAGGTGTAGAACATGATGTTATGATACTATAGGGTAAGTGTGAACCAGAATCTGATCTGGTGTAGAACATGATGTTATGATACTACGGGGTAAGTGTGAACCAGAATCTGATCAGGTGTAGAACATGATGTTATGATACTATAGGGTAAGTGTGAACCAGAATCTGATCAGGTGTAGAACATGATGTTATGATACTACGGGGTAAGTGTGAACCAGAATCTGATTAGGTGTAGAACATGATGTTATGATGCTATGGGGTAAGTGTGAACCAGAATCTGATCAGGTGTAGAACATGATGTTATGATACTATGGGGTAAGTGTGAACCAGAATCTGATCTGGTGTAGAACATGATGTTATGATACTACGGGGTAAGTGTGAACCAGAATCTGATCTGGTGTAGAACATGATGTTATGATACTACGGGGTAAGTGTGAACCAGAATCTGATCAGGTGTAGAACATGATGTTATGATACTATAGGGTAAGTGTGAACCAGAATCTGATCAGGTGTAGAACATGATGTTATGATACTATAGGGTAAGTGTGAACCAGAATCTGATCAGGTGTAGAACATGAACCAGAATCTGATCAGGTGTAGAACATGATGTTATGATACTATGGGGTAAGTGTGAACCAGAATCTGATCAGGTGTAGAACATGAACCAGAATCTGATCAGGTGTAGAACATGAACCAGAATCTGATCAGGTGTAGAACATGATGTTATGATACTATGGGGTAAGTGTGAACCAGAATCTGATCAGGTGTAGAACATGATGTTATGATACTATGGGGTAAGTGTGAACCAGAATCTGATCAGGTGTAGAACATGATGTTATGATACTATGGGGTAAGTGTGAACCAGAATCTGATCAGGTGTAGAACATGATGTTATGATACTATGGGGTAAGTGTGAACCAGAATCTGATCTGGTGTAGAACATGATGTTATGATACTACGGGGTAAGTGTGAACCAGAATCTGATCTGGTGTAGAACATGATGTTATGATACTACGGGGTAAGTGTGAACCAGAATCTGATCAGGTGTAGAACATGATGTTATGATACTATAGGGTAAGTGTGAACCAGAATCTGATCAGGTGTAGAACATGATGTTATGATACTATGGGGTAAGTGTGAACCAGAATCTGATCAGGTGTAGAACATGAACCAGAATCTGATCAGGTGTAGAACATGATGTTATGATACTATGGGGTAAGTGTGAACCAGAATCTGATCAGGTGTAGAACATGAACCAGAATCTGATCAGGTGTAGAACATGAACCAGAATCTGATCAGGTGTAGAACATGATGTTATGATACTATGGGGTAAGTGTGAACCAGAATCTGATCAGGTGTAGAACATGATGTTATGATACTATGGGGTAAGTGTGAACCAGAATCTGATCAGGTGTAGAACATGAACCAGAATCTGATCAGGTGTAGAACATGAACCAGAATCTGATCAGGTGTAGAACATGAACCAGAATCTGATCAGGTGTAGAACATGAACCAGAATCTGATCAGGTGTAGAACATGAACCAGAATCTGATCAGGTGTAGAACATGAACCAGAATCTGATCAGGTGTAGAACATGATGTTATGATACTATGGGGTAAGTGTGAACCAGAATCTGATCAGGTGTAGAACATGATGTTATGATACTATGGGGTAAGTGTGAACCAGAATCTGATCAGGTGTAGAACATGATGTTATGATACTATGGGGTAAGTGTGAACCAGAATCTGATCAGGTGTAGAACATGAACCAGAATCTGATCAGGTGTAGAACATGAACCAGAATCTGATCAGGTGTAGAACATGAACCAGAATCTGATCAGGTGTAGAACATGAACCAGAATCTGATCAGGTGTAGAACATGATGTTATGATACTATGGGGTAAGTGTGAACCAGAATCTGATCAGGTGTAGAACATGATGTTATGATACTATGGGGTAAGTGTGAACCAGAATCTGACCAGGTGTAGAACATGATGTTATGATACTATGGGGTAAGTGTGAACCAGAATCTGACCAGGTGTAGAACATCATGTTATGATACTATAGGGTAAGTGTGAACCAGAATCTGACCAGGTGTAGAACATGAACCAGAATCTGACCAGGTGTAGAACATGATGTTATGATACTATGGGGTAAGTGTGAACCAGAATCTGATCAGGTGTAGAACATGATGTTATGATACTATGGGGTAAGTGTGAACCAGAATCTGACCAGGTGTAGAACATGATGTTATGATACTATGGGGTAAGTGTGAACCAGAATCTGATCAGGTGTAGAACATGAACCAGAATCTGACCAGGTGTAGAACATGATGTTATGATACTATGGGGTAAGTGTGAACCAGAATCTGATCAGGTGTAGAACATGAACCAGAATCTGATCAGGTGTAGAACATGAACCAGTTCTGATCAGGTGTAGAGTGTGAACCAGAATCTGATCAGGTGTAGAACATGAACCAGAATCTGACCAGGTGTAGAACATGAACCAGAATCTGATCAGGTGTAGAACATGAACCAGAATCTGATCAGGTGTAGAACATGAAAAAGAATCTGATCAGGTGTAGAACATGAACCAGAATCTGACCAGGTGTAGAACATGAACCAGAATCTGATCAGGTGTAGAACATGAACCAGAATCTGACCAGGTGTAGAACATGAACCAGAATCTGACCAGGTGTAGAACATGAACCAGAATCTGATCAGGTGTAGAACATGAACCAGAATCTGACCAGGTGTAGAACATGAACCAGAATCTGACCAGGTGTAGAACATGAACCAGAATCTGACCAGGTGTAGAACATGAACCAGAATCTGACCAGGTGTAGAACATGAACCAGAATCTGACCAGGTGTAGAACATGAACCAGAATCTGACCAGGTGTGAAAGTTTCCTTTTCCAACTTTGATGGCAGCTTTAATCTTGCTTCTTTCTAAGATTACCAGCCAATGTGATTGAACAAATTGATCTTAAGAACCGTATCTGGAGTATGTTTTTTCCCCTGATGGTAAAACTTTTTGATATTAATGTTGTTACAACCTCAACAGTAGATATAAGTATCCTAGCGCAAGCACATAACATGTAAAATCACTGCACATTTAAATTCACATGAAAATGTCAACTTCCAGACACCTACATCAAAAATGATAACATATGAAATCCAGTGTATATGATATGAAACATATTGAAATAGCAAATCAAATCAATAGAGATACTGATTTAATGTCTGAATGAAGAATTTGAGAATCATGTGAAAGATTGTGTGATGGAAGGGAGGTAACTCCAATTAGATTGAATACAGATGTTGCTATGATCATAATTGAGCTCCTTTTCTGCTAAAGCCTTCTCATCATTACCTTCGGTGCCAAGTCCAGGACTGGATGTGAATTTGGCCACATCCACGATCTTGACCGCAAACTGCTGGCCTGTGTCTTTGTGTACACATCTCTTGACTACACTGTAGGGACCCCTGTAAACGACAATTACAAGACTGTTTTAGTAAAACAATTAAAAGACTGACCATCAGTAAAACAATTAAAAGACTGACCATCAGTAAAACAATTAAAAGACTGACCATCAGTAAACAACAATTAAAAGACTGACCATCAGTAAACAACAATTAAAAGACTGACCATCAGTAAACAACAATTAAAAGACTGACCATCAGTAAACAACAATTAAAAGACTGACCATCAGTAAACAACAATTAAAAGACTGACCATCAGTAAAACAATTAAATTAAAAGACTGACCATCAGTAAAACAATTAAAAGACTGACCATCAGTAAACAACAATTACAAGACTGACCATCAGTAAACAACAATTAAAAGACTGACCATCAGTAAAACAATTAAAAGACTGACCATCAGTAAACAACAATTAAAAGACTGACCATCAGTAAACAACAATTAAAAGACTGACCATCAGTAAACAACAATTAAAAGACTGACCATCAGTAAAACAATTAAAAGACTGACCATCAGTAAACAACAATTAAAAGACTGACCATCAGTAAAACAATTAAAAGACTGACCATCAGTAAAACAATTAAAAGACTGACCATCAGTAAAACAATTAAAAGACTGACCATCAGTAAAACAATTAAAAGACTGACCATCAGTAAAACAATTAAAAGACTGACCATCAGTAAACAACAATTAAAAGACTGACCATCAGTAAAACAACAATTAAAAGACTGACCATCAGTAAACAACAATTAAAAGACTGACCATCAGTAAAACAATTAAAAGACTGACCATCAGTAAAACAATTAAAAGACTGACCATCAGTAAAACAATTAAAAGACTGACCATCAGTAAAACAATTAAAAGACTGACCATCAGTAAACAACAATTAAAAGACTGACCATCAGTAAACAACAATTAAAAGACTGACCATCAGTAAAAACAATTAAAAGAACAATTAAAAGACTGACCATCAGTAAACAACAATTAAAAGACTGACCATCAGTAAACAACAATTAAAAGACTGACCATCAGTAAACAACAATTAAAAGTGACCATCAGTAAACAACAATTAAAAGACTGACCATCAGTAAACAACAATTAAAAGACTGACCATCAGTAAAACAATTAAAAGACTGACCATCAGTAAACAACAATTAAAAGACTGACCATCAGTAAAACAATTACCATCAGTAAAACAATTAAAAGACTGACCATCAGTAAAACAATTAAAAGACTGACCATCAGTAAACAACAATTAAAAGACTGACCATCAGTAAACAACAATTACAAGACTGACCATCAGTAAACAACAATTACAAGACTGACCATCAGTAAACAACAATTAAAAGACTGACCATCAGTAAACAACAATTAAAAGACTGACCATCAGTAAACAACAATTAAAAGACTGACCATCAGTAAACAACAATTAAAAGACTGACCATCAGTAAACAACAATTAAAAGACTGACCATCAGTAAAACAATTAAAAGACTGACCATCAGTAAAACAATTAAAAGACTGACCATCAATTAAAAGAGTAAAACAATTAAAAGACTGACCATCAGTAAACAACAATTAAAAGACTGACCATCAAACAACAATTAAAAGACTGACCATCAGTAAACAACAATTAAAAGACTGACCATCAGTAAACAACAATTAAAAGACTGACCATCAGTAAAACAATTAAAAGACTGACCATCAGTAAACAACAATTAAAAGACTGACCATCAGTAAAACAATTAAAAGACTGACCATCAGTAAAACAATTAAAAGACTGACCATCAGTAAACAACAATTAAAAGACTGACCATCAGTAAACAACACAATGAGTAAACTTATAATGCTTATTACCTGTTGTTCAGTGAAATATTGTTTATGATCTTTTGTCCAGTGAAATATAGCTATTATCTGGTGTTCTGTGAAAATTGTTTATTATCTGGTGTTCACTGAAATTCTTCATCAATTACACCCAATAGATACTATGTTTTAAAAAACAGTGTGCTATCTATCATTTTCTGAAAAAAATCTAGCTTGCACATTACAGCACCATTAGTTCATTTGATGTTGTCATATTAATCTGTAACGGCTGTGTCATGACTCATATTGCAAAAATTATCTTCAAACTCAAATATCCTGTAATACAAAATGTCATTATTGCTAAATTATTTATTTCTCATTGTCAAAAACAACAATTAAATTAACTGCTGATAAGGACATGCTGATACATAGATTTAGTGATTTCAGATTTGGTGAAATTTTTCTAAAATTTCATCAAGTAATTCCTACCAGTAACTCAGCTTCTTTGTGGTATTGTCTGACACCCAGGATACGACTATTAACAACTGTTTGCATTATTGACAGTTGTCAGAAATACAGTTTACTTTATTTTCCTGGTTCCTTACAGATAATAAGGAGCCTGGGGTCAAGGGACTAATTTAAGATGCTAATAGTAATTATGTAACTTAGTATATCTTAAATTGGGGTCAGGGTTTTCAGTTTTTGAGTAGGATGACAAAAATTCTAAATAGATGATATGAAATGGAAAGACATACATTGGACTCTCTTAAAACTAACTTCTCTTTGACAAGAATTTTTCGCCATGCCAGCAAAAGAATTTAGCACATACAAAATCCTTTCTTTACTTATAGTAATTTCACCTTCTATAACCAAGATTTTCCGTTACACTTTGACCAACTTTTTGAATGTCCATAGTGTGTATTTTGGAAGCAGTAATTCCATTATATGCTTTTACAAGACAATTATCAATGAACATGTGTATTTATGTGTATATAATGTTACCGTAATATCTCTGATGTTAAAGCTCTTTTGATAGGAACTTTTAATTCTTTTTGACAGTTAATAATTCTATATCTAAAAACCCTGTGGCAGAGAAAATGCGAATATGTTTATATGTGTAAATAAAACACAAGAGAATTTCTTCCCCCCTCCCCCACCTCCCACCCCCGCAAAAAAAAATTTGGTTACTTTTACGGAAATAGATAGCAATTAGGATGTTTGTATTTTCAAGAACAGAGCAAATAGCCCTGCCTGCTAAGGTGTCAAACTTATTATGGGAATTATATGGCTGGGTTATTGGTTTAGTCAGCAGTAAGCTGGAATGCAGCAATATCAGGTGGTGCTAGGTTAATGGGTCAAAGGAGCACCATAACATTGTTCAATTTCTTTAAAATGACTTGTTTATTTAAGAGAGAGAGTAATTCTGGCATAAGTCCACACATTCTCTGTTATACAGAATTCTCTACATACATGTTATATTGTTTGGTCTAACAGTCCTCCTTGAAAGATTCTCAAATATTACTGAAGTGAGTCAAATATCAAGTATATTAGTAATGGCAAAGCGAAGAAAAGTACTATCTAGAAATCATACTGTCCAGATTATATACTGTCCAGTACAGATACTGTCCAGTCCAAATTTGTCCAGTCCAGATATTGTCCAGTACAGATACTGTCCAGTTTATATACTGTCCAGTACAGATATTGTCCAGTACAGATATTGTCAAGTACAGATATTGTCCAGTACAGATACTGTCCAGTCCAGATACTGTCCAGTACAGGTCCAGTACAGATACTGTCCAGTCCAGATACTGTCCAGTACAGATATTGTCCAGTCCAGATACTGTCCAGTACAAATATTGTCCAGTCCAGATATTGTCCAGTACAGATATTGTCCAGTCCAGATACTGTCCAGTACAGATATTGTCCAGTACAGATATTGTCCAGTCCAGATATTGCCCAGTACAGATATTGCCCAGTACATTGTCCAGTACAGATATTGTCCAGTCCAGATACTGTCCAGTACAGATATTGTCCAGTCCAGATATTGTCCAGTACAAATATTGTTCAGTTTATATACTGTCCGTTACAGATATTGTCCAGTACAGATATTGTTCAGTTTATATACTGTCCACTACTGATATTGTCCACTACAGATATTGTCCAGTACAGATATTGTCCAGTTTATATACTGTCCACTACAGATATTGTCCACTACAGATATTGTCCAGTACAGATATTGTCCAGTACAGATACTGTCCACTACAGATATTGTCCACTACAGATATTGTCCAGTACAGATATTGTCCAGTTTATATACTGTCCACTACAGATATTGTCCAGTACAGATATTGTCCAGTTTATATACTGTCCACTACAGATATTGTCCACTACAGATATTGTCCAGTACAGATACTGTCCACTACAGATACTGTCCACTACAGATATTATCAAATTATATATCTGAGAATTTGGCTTAAATAAGAAATTATTTCAGTCAGGAATTAGGCCTATTTTCAGCCACAAAAAGCCTTTAAGAAGTTACCTGTATCACAAAAGTACCAAAAGAATCTATTCATAACTATCAGGAAACCAAATTCTATATAAAATCAATATATTCCACTTCAACTCACAATGGAAGGACGTCAAAATGAAGTGGATGCCATTTTGTGTAAAGCCATCTTTAATTACCTCTAATGAATTGTGTTGGTCCCTAAGTCAACATGTCCGTCCATAAAATCTATAACGTTAAGATCAACATTTATACAATATGAACTAAAATTCTATGGATTTAGAGTTTAGTTCACCCAAACTTTCCATTGATTCAGATGTTCCGTGGAGTCTGAGTCTATAAAATGTTTGTATGGGTACAGAGCTACAACTCAAATGTTTGCCTTTTATTCTACAGTCTACTTTGAAAACTCTATCCACTCTTTCACCTCCAAAAGAATTGTTAACATACATAAAGTTTGTTTTGCTTTTCGAATTCATATGAATTTCCATTAAATTGCATTCTGACTTAAGGCTATATGCTAAGATGCTGACAGTTATGTGTCTCCTTTCCAAAAAGAATTCCACACCAAAGCTTGTCATCTCCTCTCAGAAGACCTCTTAAAAGTATGATTTATTGTATGTATATTCTTAAACACAAATATATACACACAGATTGGTGTTCCTGATATGCATAAACTGGCTTTCAGTGG